TCTGTCAAAAGGAGACCAATGTACAAATAAAGCGCGTACATCCGATGTACTGCTAGTCACTGTCATAAAAGAATAATATTTCAAAACAAAAATGTATCCATCATCACTATTTTTCGCAGTATTAAGCTCCGCTCCTTAAAGCTGTCACTTCTGTGCATTCCGATTCGTTAAACTGGCACTCGTAACGGAACTGTGTGCTGGAAGTACTTTTGCCAGCTGATTTGTCTTGAACAGGAACACCACGTTCTTCCTTTAAGCAAAGTAGAGGAGTATACAGGAAGACTCCGAAAAATCAACCCGGAAAAATCTGTGCAATTGGAGCCGTTTTGAACTTCATTTAGACGTATTTTAAGACATTTGGGTTATTTTCCCTAATCGTCTGAATTTTGCTAGTCGGTTTCAACAGCTTGCTAGAGAAGAACCAGGTTTCATGAATCAACTCATAATGAGCGACGAGGCCCAGTTTTACCCAAACGGTATTGTCAATACTCAAAACTGTCGGATATGGAGTAAGGAAAATCCAAGAACTCATCCTGCCAAATGTAGTGTGTTGTGAGGTAACAGATCATAGGATCATTAGGCCAATTTTTTTTTTTTTTTTTTCAAAATGACGTCGAGAAATGTAGTAAAGGGAGAACGATACAGACAAATAAATCTAACATTTTTACACCCGTGATTCAAAATGAAGGAGATATGTGGTTTCAATAAGATGAAGCCACAGCTCACACAGCTGGGGCCACAAAGAACTTGCTAAGACAAAGTTTTGGACGAAAATTTATTTCGAAGCGGGCAAAGATTGAATACTCATCACATTCTCCCGATTTGACAGCGCTTGGCTTTTGTCTTTGTCGTTACATGAAGGAAAAAGTTAATAGGAATAAACCTCTAACATTTCAGCAATTAATGAACAAACAGAAATTCTGACAATACCAGCAAGGACACTAAGAGCTGTTATGGAGCATAGCATAGAAAAAGCAGTTTTGTGTGAAAACTATGAGACATTTAAGTGATATTTTTTCTGTACTGCAAGAAAAATCTACATCAACTGAGCTGCAGTAAAAGAATCAATAAAAACGTCAGTTTATTATTAAATCACCTAGGAACTTTTGGCGCACCCTGTTTTATCATTAAATCGCCTAGGAACCCTGTACTACACTTAGGGTTGTCACCTGTCCTTTTTTCAAGCAAAATGTGCTTGCGACTTTTTAAAGATTAAAATGTCCTTTTTACGGCATATGTCGTTTTACCTGGGTTGTACAAAAATATACAAGATGAGAACCTATTTTTTTTCGGTAGAAGGACGAGGATTTTTATGTCGACCTTTTTTATATCGGATCCATTATCAGCATCATTGTCCTTTATTCACTTTTCATAAAGGTGGCAACCTTAACTACACTGGTCATCGTAAGGTAAAGGGTAATTCTTACTAATGTATACACAATATTGAAGAGCCGTTTAGATTTAACATTGTTGGAAAATGGGAGTAAATCAAAGGGATGTGGTGAGACAATCTAATGTGTCTATCGACCGTACAAAGTATACAAACCATAACAAACGGTTTCTTGTGATCGGTTTTTATTACCGGAGACTCGGTACGGGTGCTAAAAAAAACAACAGCTAGGGAAGGTCACTGTCACGTTTTCTGCACTGCGAGCGTTGAAATACATTCAACATTACATTCAGTATTACTAATTTCCGAACTATAACTCCTACAGATGTCTCTGTAGCCTGTACTATATCAGCAGATAGTTTTCTAACTGATGAGTACGTCATGCGCGTCAGCCACTCCTCATTGGTTAAACATTAATACGTCAGCCCCAAGCTGTGTTTCTAACAGTAAAAGGGACGCTGTGTCCGCCATTGTATAAAATGAAATTTAACTCGGCTTAAGTAATAAATTTCCCAGAAATGATGTTATTGTAAATAATGTAAAAATTTCGTTGTCAACAATGTACTAGTGTTAAATCAAACTGATTTTTATTCGGTGTTAAAATGTGTTCAGTAAGAGGTGGCCTTTGAATCCAAGTTTCTACATCTCCAAGACCTTATGTATCACACAGGTATTCAAACTTTCTTTATTAATACAGTCCACTAACAGTAATGGGTCAGATTGGCCCTATTTTACATATGGCGTGATACACTGGTTAAGCTTGTACATCGGTGTGGCCGCTACAGCGAGACGCAACCTACTAAAATGCTCCAAAGCGACCTTCAGCAAGATCATGGAACCGCAGTTAGCCTTTCAACTGTTCGATGAAATTTAAGGGAACGTGGTTTGATAGTTTGCAGAGTAGCTGCAGAACACTTGTTTACTGCAACTCAGAAAATACGCAACATGCTTTTTCCACGAACACATCAATTAAATTAAACGACTGGAAAAACTTATTGTTCATGGACGAGTGTAAAATGTATATTTATTGAAAAGATGGATGATATAAGATCCAAAGAAGAGATGTTATGCTGCCTGCACTTATCACCTCGAGTTGCTTTTGGGGTTGGCTCTGTAATGTTGTTGCCAGGAATTTTTGTTGAGAAGCACATGGTTTTCTTCCTGATTGATGTCATATGCTGGGTTTGTTGGCCATGGTTTTCTGCTAATGCAGGAAACGCGCGACCACGCACGGCAATAATGATGGTAATGCATAACTTTGAAGATGTGATGTGCTCAAAATCAGGACTATTGAGCATATTTGAGACAAGTTTAAAAGGCGTACAAGACTTTTCTCTAAGCAGGCATTCAGAACGAGGTGATTTCTTTGTAAAATCGAATAAACAGTATTATCTGCATTGAAAAGTGCTCCTCGTCATTTCTTGTTTCTTTAGCTGAATGAATTATTGTAATGTAAACTGTAAGTGTAACTTTTCAATAAATTGATGAATTCTCAAATTTTTACTTGAGTGTCGTTTGCAACTCATAAAGTCGCATGAAATGCTAAAAGAATTATTGACTCAATATCCAATAGATTTAATGCGATAATAAATATTTAAAAAGATGGATTACTTAATTTTGTGGGTGGTCCGTTTTCTCTGACAAGCAGTGTAATTAAGAAACTAAGAAAAATGGGCAATTTTTTGATAATTTACAAGACAATATTACTTATTTACACAAATGAAGTTGTGAGAAAATTAAAGGTATTTTGCATTACAACAGTATTCCAAGAAAGCGACAAAACAGTCATTTATTTTTTGTTGTAGAAAAACTCAGTTTTTAATAAAATTTAGCTTGTAAAAAATTAGCACTTCCACTTATTCTCGTAATCTCTTCTAGATTATTTTGATGCGTGTATTTTTTAGACAATTGACGTATGCGACCTTGATTAAAGTGAGTTAGTTATGTTGTACCTTTATCAGACATTAAAAATATTTTTAATTAGTTTCTTAGAAGCAATTAAAATAGTATTCAAAAGCTGAAATTCTCAAAGAACAAGTCACAAAAAGCTGTAAACCACAAACACAAGCATCATTTTCCAATCAAAAAAATGAAAACAAAGAAATTGATAAAACAGAAATATAATGGAATGTACAAATTATTTATTTTCAACATAATTTTGCTGTTCCCTTCTTACAACAGAACCAATCTACATTATAATTATAATACTCTACAACAATGGGTGTAATACCTGCCCGAACCGATGGCACATGTCCATAGCGATTTGACTGGCAGGCATTTACCCAACAAGCTTCGTGCTGAGATGATTCATGACTAAAATAAAAAGAGGAAATACTACAGGGTTAACTCGAAAAGAGGAAACTTTCAATCTACCCTCGTAACACTAGTACCATTTTAGTGATATATTTTATGTGGAAGTTCATTCGATATGAATAATTAACTTTCGTGTTACAAGTCTCTATTCGTTTCCATTTTTGTAAACCCTGTATAACATTCTTATTTGCTAAGGTCAAAAAACGTCGCCGTATAGAAAGAAAATGTTCGTTGACATTCTACACGGTGACACTTTTTGAAAAAAGCTAGACTACACTTTAGGCTAACACGTATAACTATGGACATCAAAAAAAAAAACCATCGATACACTTACGTTGTCATATTTACAACAATGCTGACATAACAAAACCATTTAATATTATTATTATTTTCTGGAAGGTAATGGAACATATTTATCTTTAACATGTTGTATTTTGTTTAGAATAGAATAAAATAAATTAGTAAATTACTAACAACGCACGGGGATGGGAACAAAATAAAAAAAATATTTAAAAAATATACAGATGGATTTACGAATGTTATTCAGACATACATAGTGCTGGTTAGATTAAATAGGGTAAGTAATTTCGAAACATCATCTAGTCTAGCGCTTTTGTAATGTCCCATTTACCAAAAAAAATATTTTCCTTTTAATTAAAAACGTTTATATATGTGAAAAAAATATACCACGGTTTTACTGGCTTAAGATTTGCTACTCGAAAATTGTCAAAAATAACATTCCCTAACCATTTGTTTTTTAACGAGACCAAGAGCCTTTTTAAGGCCATATTGAATGTATGTATGTAATAAACGAAATCTTGAGTATAACACACTATAGTGATAAAACAAATGTACAGTATTTCTGTGAAATTAAAATAAATTGTGCTACTTTTTTATCTTTATTCAAATACTTCCTAGGCTCAATAGGAGTCTAGACTTTTTTTTATATTATATTAAAAGAAAAAAAGGTAACCTAAAATCTATGAACTATACAATTAATTTAATGATAGTGGTGACCCGCCATGAAAATGAATCCGGAGGCTTCTTATGTATGTTTAAAATTATTTACAATGATAGCACAGGTATTATAAAGATATGAGGCAAAATAAACAGGGCGCTAGCATTTTTCCAAAAGAAATCTTTAAGACAACTATCAAGAAAAATACAAGACGGTTAAATTGTCTTTTATTTAAAGCCACCTATAAAATAATTGTATAGTAGACATGGGGTTCGTTTTTTTAAGTATAATAAAGAATTTTTCGCAACGCAGTCTTTGATTATATGTAAGAAAAAATGGCTCTATTTATTTTGCCTCGTACGCCAAAAATACGGGCCCCATCATAACTAAATTATTTACAACGCCCGCCGCCTCAGTCACTTTCATCGCCTGCTACCGTTTTTATACAGTTTTTTATTTTTACATGTAAACATTTAAAAACAAAATGATCGGGGCGAGGCGCAACTTTTGGTACGCTGTGTTGAGGAGATGAAAAGGGGAGCTGGGCGCTTAAGCTTTAGTGTAGAGGTAGATGGCGACGATGAGACCGTAAAGACCTAATACTTCTGCGAAAATGAGGATCAAGATCATTCCTACGAAGAGTCTCGGCTGTTGTGCGGTACCTCTGACACCGGCGTCACCCACTATGCCGATTGCGAAGCCAGCTGCCAATCCGGAAAATCCTACTGAAAGTCCGGCACCCAAATGAACGAAACCGCTGAAAAATAAATACGTCAATTAATTAAATGAAAAACTAATAATAGTAATAATATTAAATATTAATAATAATAATAATAATAATAATGGGGGTGGGTGGGTGGGTGTGGGTGGCTCACTGGTATAGTATCTGCCTGTGGATCCAAGGGTGCCAGGTTAGGATCCCACCGTTGGCCGGGATTAATTTAATTATTTAAAATTAATTCTAATGCCTTGGTAGGATTTCCCACTCGACCATTTACTGTTGGGTTCTAATTAACAGTGCTGTTCCTAAAGTGGCGCTGGGAAACAGTGACAACGCCTACACAGAACATGAGGCGAAATGACCTTAGCAGTTGAAGTCGATGGCACAAATAATAATAATAATAATAATAATAATAATAATAATAATAGTAGTGCATGCAGATAGTCAGTACACCCTGCTAAACCTTTAACACCGTGATGACAATAGAAAAATCAAACCACAGGAAGACTTGATCAATGAATGGAAAGAAAAACCGCTTCATGGAAGATTTCCAATAGACCTTGATGACTAGAATGTCGACAAAAAAGCGTCGTACGATTGGTTATGCTGTGGAAATCTATACCCAGAGACGGAAGGTTTTATGATCGCAATTCAAGATCAAGTCATCAGAACACGGTATTATGCAAAACATCTTAAAAAACTGAACGGTTTCTGACGATCTTTGTAGAAGATGTAAAAGTGCAAAATAAACTATCCATCCATCATATAACAACGGGGTGTCAGTCAATAGTACAAGCAGACTATAAGGTCAGACATGATCAGGTGGCAAAGATAATGCACCAGAAAATAGCACTAAATTTATTACCCCAAGAAAATACTCCTTATTATAAATGTACTCCTTATAGGGTCATGGAAAATGACATCGTTGTATTATACTGGGACAGAACACTACCTACTGATCGTACTGTTCAAGCAAATAGACCAGCTATAACTTTAATTAATAAAATAGAAAAATGGGCATTCTTAATAGACGTAGCCGTACCAAAGTATATTAACCGTTGAGTAGCGACATAAAGCGTCGGTTCCTTTGATCTTGGGTGGTGCAAATTTTGTTTCTCTCTCTTTTGACGTTATTGACGGAACGACACACTAAAACACTGCTCGAGTTATGAACTGGTCTTGAATGTGATGTTTACACTGCTCGACGTAATTTGAAGTAAAACTCTTTTGTAGTTTACATTTATAATAAAGGTTTGGTCATCAGGCAGTTTTATATTTATGATTATTTAACTTATGTAATAAATATAAAAATATATATCACTATTGATAAATTTCAATTTTTTTACCTACGTCCGGATGAGCTAGAGACTTGAAAGTTGGTAGGTGCACAGGGTTTTGATTTTTGATAACAATAGAAATTATTACTTATGGACCTTCTTATTTATTAATCGAGTTGTCTCAAACTTTAAATTTCGCGTTGTTTGAACATGTCGCTCAATACAATTTTTGACTAATAAATCCACAACAACGAATTCCTATATCAGCTGCCGGACTAAAGTGAAAGGGGTTGTTTACGTCTTTAGAAGACGTCTCGCCTCTCTATTTCGCGTCGGCGCACTAGAATTCGGTTCTCCAGCTGTCGCTACTCAACGGTTAATATACTTTGGCCGTACCCCATATGAATAACCTCCAGGATACACAATACAAAAATAAACAAATATAGGGAATTAGCAGTGGAAATAAAAGAATAATGGGGTCTTAATAAACTTACAATTTTACCAGCAATAGGAATTATACCAAAATCATTTATAGACACCTTAAATGCATTATCAATGCCAGAAATGATTCGTCCTATCCAAAAAGCCGTCATGTTATCCACATGTAATATGACAAGAAAATTTCTAAATGTTCAATACCAATTTGATTAACATACTCTCGACTTATTAGCTCTGTCTGCTTAGGTATCAGCCCACAGACAACTACCAACCACTGGTAAACCCGAGATTGAGAAAATAATTAATAATAACTCAACAAATGCAAAAAGTGTCAACAAATATCAGGATATAACATCAGACTGTAAGGTGCTAGCTAATACTGACTACGTGCATTAACATAATCAAGTATGCAACATCGTCCATCAGAAACAAAGCAACAAGTTCAGTCTATTAATATTTGTACACCATACTGTAAGTACCAGCTGCAGAAGGTGCTTGAAAATAACAACTTTAGGCTACTACGATAGGTCTATTATTACCGATAGACAAGTGATAAATAACAGGCCAGATATTGTAATATTGGATAGAAGAGTCTACTCAGTCCTCCTTGTTGATGTAGCAGTACCGAATACCCACAACGTTCTCGGTAAATATCGGAAGATGAAGTGCGCGGATGTCACCATTGAGATTAAACAGATGTGGCATTGCGAAAAAAGGGAATAGTCCCATTAATTATATCATCGACCGGCGTAGTACTAAAGACCTTGCAGGATAGCCTCTCTAAACTATGACTAACTAAAACCACCTTCTCTGATATTCAGACAGCTGTTACATGAAGTCTTGCCATACAGTGTGTAAATTATACCAGTTCTGAGCTTGAGTAGCGTACAGGTCTAATAAATAATAATATTTATCTTTGTCAGTTATAAGCAGGTAGGGTTATTTTTGGCCTAGAACACTATAGCCTCTTGCATTCCTCGTATTCAGGTACTCTCTCTGAAATAGTCCTGTGCCTTTGGTTAGTTTTACTAAGTTCCCTACCAAGTGTTCCTGAGGCGTTCTTTCCGGTTCTAGGCCGAAAAGGGTAGGACGCCGCCTAGCAACAGCTTCGTATTCGAAGATCACATGCTATGAGGTTTCTTCCTCTTCCAAGCAAAATCTACACGTGGTGGAATCATTGTGTAATCCCATGTTGTTTTTATCTTCATCTTCTTATAAGCGTTTTTGGGTCATTCAGGGTCTTTGTAATAAATTTCTCACATGGTGTATACAAATTTGGACGCTTGGTTAGGATATTGGGAGGAGTAGAGGTTCTAGGATATTAATATTTTGTAGCTTTGTAGCTTTTTAGCTTAAGTTGTGAAACAATTTGCCAAGGCGTCATTTGATTAATCTTGGTTCGGGAATATAACATATTAATTATTGGAAGGATTTTGAAAAGGGTTTGCGTGTGCCTCATTTTTGTTATACATGGCTGGATTTCTTTCATTAATCATTAGCATATGTCCATATTCAAGAAGTGGTTTAAAAATACTGTGTAAATTTTGATTGCCATTAATATTCCTTGGTTATGATATGACACTGCTCGAAAATGTTTGGCCCATGACTTTACTTTGTTAATCATGAATTTTGTATATAAATTGAAATTTAGTTTTTGATCCATGGTGATCCCTAAAAACTTAATTGCCAGAAGAGAATGCAGATAATTATTATTGATTTGGTGAGATATTAGGAGAATGATTAAAATTCTGAACTGCGTTTTTTCAGGTGATGTGGATATTCTCAATTTACAGGACCATTGAGACGGAGCGTCTATAACTCTGGAGAGTTAGATTATTGTAGTGTCATCTGCACTGAAAGTTATTAGGGTTGTAATGAGGAAAAAGATCGTGACAGAAAAAATGTAAAAGAATATGGAACACCTTGGGATGGAATAAAATTAATCAAGAAACAGTCATTGATTTTTATGACCAAAGAGCGATTTTCTAGTATTCCTTCATTTTTTAGAATTTCTTGTAGTTTGAAAAGTAAACTTTTGAGCTAAACGCTGTCGAAGGCTTTCTTGGTACCAAGGAAAACTGCCGCAAATATCAAATTCAAATACCAGTTTGAATATTGGACGTCAAAATTACTAAAGGGTGTGTTGTGGAGCATTTTACCATAATCCATACTGATGTAGTGGCACCTGGTTTACATATTTATGCATTTATTAATTTTTTCAACTAGCTTGCCCATTGTGGGTTACAAAGTTATGAGACGGTTATTTTTACTTTAGTGTGGTCAGTATTTCACTCAATTACATCTTATATATTTCTTTATAATGAAACGCAATCGCTTACCGATTTTATTTCTTTAAACAAATTTAAAGTAATCTGCAAAAAGACAGGTATTGCATTATATCTATATTAACATGCAAATCATTTTTAATTAGTTACCAATGCGTATATGGTTAAAGATAGAAACGACAATACGCTAAATTAGTAACTTTTTTTTACCTAAATTATAGTTTTCTACTGGGGTACTATTAAAATTGAAATCTTTATTTTTTTTTTAATGTGGTATTTTAATTATTATTTTGTGTATCTCGGATTTTACCGCTGCGTTGGTAGTTGTCTACGGGGTGATACCTAAGCAGACAGGGCTAATACGTATGTTAAACTAAGATTTTATTTACTTATTCTAAACAATTTTTACAATTTTGTCTACATTATTTAAATTTAATTTTGGCCATACACCGGATTAAACCAGTTCGCGACATTTATGGCAAACTAGTATCGTTTGTAATACAGCCGTTTTTATTTTTTGATGTTGGACTTTCGTATCGAAAATTATTTTGCAACGAATTGTATATTCCAACGGATTTAGTTTATATTTTTTTTGTAATTTCCTGCTTTATCTTTCAAAATATTAAAAACTGTAGTTACTGAAACTGTTGTAAATTCAAAACACATTTCTAGTGCATCCGAACGTAATACGAGTTCAGCAAATACGTTATAATAATTTATCATCCCTACGAAATTTGTAAAAAATTAATTCAATAAAATAAATTATTGAAAGACAAAAATAGTATAAACGTTCTTGTTTAATACATCACTTATTTTTTGTATTTTTGATTAACTTCGGGATGAGCATATTACAATCAACAAACTACATGTGGCCGGGATACATGTGGTATCATAATAAGAATGACTCAGTTTGAAAACATTCGAGACTGAGGTAAAGTAAGGCGGAAAATTAATAACAAGATTATTTTGAAGGTCAATCTCGAATTATTAAATAACAAAAAGGTACAGAATTTGTGGTAAATCTAAAAATGTTAAA